GAGGGGAGGGGGGTGGGGGAGGGGACGCGCCCTGGCGGGGGGGGGGGGGCGGGCTGTGAGAGAAACATTGCTGGAATGATCAGAGGTGAAAGAGTTAACACAGCCATCACTGGACTTTGTGGAGTTAGCATTTAGAGGTCAGAAACCTCTGGGTTCAGTCAATGCATCCAGAGTCGACTCCATCATTATGATTCAGAGTTAACGAGAAGCTGAAGGGGCAGTGGGTCAACAAAGCCATCACTGGGCACCAGAGTTAACATGATGGTTGTTAGGTTCCAGGACTCAGAGGTCAGGGGGTGCAGACACTTCCTGCCACGGATCCAGGCAGCATCAGGAGCTGTTTGGGGGCTGGAAGCGCTGCTACTTACTGCCACAACTGGGGTCTTTGGACTCCAGCTGGGGCCATTCCTCAACCACTGCCCCAACCCAGCCCTGACACTTCCTCTCCCCACCACCCCCAGGCCCTGCCCATCCCCCTGCCACTCTGCTGGATGTGTCGCTCCTTCGTGGGACGGATCGAATCCACCATTCCCAAGGTACTGCCTCCGGGAGTGGGGGAAGCGGTATTCAGGGGTTGGGGGCTGTCACAAGCTGGCTTGGGCTGTTGCCTCCATCCAAGCCCTGCCACTCAGTGTGAACAAGGCTGGGTACTGCTATTGTTAGGATCCAGAGTCAACACCCCATGGAAATGGGTAGAGGCAGCTGGCAGGGGCTGAGGGAGCTCCTGACTGCCTCCCTTGCCCCTCCAGGAGGGTATTGCCAAGGCCATGTCTGGGCTGTGCCACCTGCTGCCAGGTGCAGTAGCCGGGACCTGCCAGTGCCTGGCCGAGAAGTACACGGTGATTGCGCTGCAGGCAGCACTGAGCCAACTTGGGCCCCGCCTGCTCTGTGGGATGCTGCTCATGTGCGTGGCAGAGGATGGCTACGGCCCTGGTAAGCCCAGGCTGTGGGTAGGGGGCCACAGATGGGAGGGGGAGGGGTGTGGGGGACTGCACAGGATTGGGCCCCTCTGAGTCCAAGGGTGTCTAGGATCAGGGCTGGCCACATTTGGGGCTGTACATCACTGTCTACCCCACCATGGTGGGGGGGGGGGAGGGCGCAAACCCCCC